CGCGTGATAAGGGTCAACAAGCCTAATGTATGAAATGCGAAAAGGGTGAATACAAACCAAATCACACCGGCGGGTGGTAAGGGTGGATATACTAAGATGAATAGGCACGATGCATATGGATGCAATATAATTGTTGTAGTTGATGCGAAATACAATGTGATGCGTGTTCCATGCAACATAATAGAAAAGATAAACAAAAACTAGTGGTTTTGAAAACACCTCATAGACGGAAGTGGCGGCAAACTGCCTTGTTCTACTGGGGATCTACCTCATCTTTTTATGTTTTTCAAACTTCCACCTTCAACTTACAGTCAAAGGTTCTCAAATGCTGAAAAGAGGGTAAAACCTGCTTGAGCTTGAGGTTGAGGCACATTCACATTTCAGAGTTCAGCCCCTTAAAACAAGCCAAAAACTGTGTAAAACAAGGAAAAGAGAGGAAGAGAGTGAAAGAGAAGTAAAGAAGAAGATGCAAAGTTATACCTCTTGGAAAGAGAGGTAAGTTTTTAGTTAACAAACTTGATGATTCCAAACAACCTCAAGTATCTTAAATAAGGTTTCAAATTTCAGCAAAAAGCTTCAAGTTTGAGCTTCAATGGTGTATCTATAGTGTATTATATTCAAGAGGGTAGTGAAGTGCTTTGGACTGCATTCTAAGCTCTTATTAGGAAAATTTTATTCATGTCACGCCCTCAAAATTAACCCATTATATAACATTGACATGCATTTACTGGACTTTATGTTCATCTCACGTTGTTGAATCTTTTTCAGGTGTTTAGCAGGTTGTGCTACAGGATTTGGATCTTCTTATTTGTTGGCCACAGGGTCTCTTTGTTGTTGGCGGAACACCATATGTGTAAAAGGGTTACACCCCTTCATTTGTTTATTTAAAGGTTGTAAGCCCAAGGGCAATTTATAGAGTATGTTCATGTAACATTTACTTTTCATACGAATGAGAGTATTTAAATTCATTTCTATGGATTGAATGTATGAGTTTATTTCCGCATGTTATCTCTGAAATTGAATTACGTTAATGAATTTGGTAATGGCTTCGAGTAATAAAAAGTGGGGCGTGAGGACCTGACTATTGGGAGGTACATGTTCAAGTGCCAATCAAACCTAATGAGAGCTTGATCCGATCATATGGACTTGTCAAAACAATTGGACAAGCTATTGGAGCTCATGTTGCTTGGCCTGCTCCATTTGTGGTATATTTCTTTCGTAAATACTAATTTTATTAACAAATTTATATTAACTTAATATAGTTTCAATTACCGTCATATGTTTATCTTTTGGATGCAGATTTCACAAGTTATGGATGCTAGCCGAGAATATTTATACAAGTGAAGTTAAGAATTTGGGAACTGATTTTATTTTGATAATTTGTCTCTCTGGAAGATAGATATCATTATGGCTTTTCAGAACTTATGGTTAGAATAATTTTCTTTTAAATTTTTTTTGCTTTAACTTTGTTGGTGTGGTAGAATATTTTATAATTTTGGCAAGGGATTTTTATTGTAATATAAATAAATTTATATTTCAATAATAAATAATTGATTGTGGTTTTTATTTATTTTTTGATTTGATGATCTTATGGTGGTAATATTTGTTTATTATTATGAAAATATTACAGGATGAATGGATGCCAAATTAATATATGATGTGGCAATTAATATTTAATTGTTTATAAAATTGATTCAATTTTTATTGGTATTTACGCATGCATAATTGTAGCTTTTAAAAGTGTCAATGAAAATAATATATAAGTGGCATTTTGTAGTAGTGATAGTAGCTTTGCAAAGTGTCACTAAAATAAGTTCCAATGGCACTTATATCTATTTAATGGCACAAATGAATTGGATTTAGTGACATTTATGAAGGTGTTATAAATATCAATTGTGGCATAATAAGCGTCATTAAAAATCCATATCGTGGCATTTTTTAGATTGCAAGTCTTCTTTAATGGCTCTTGATAGCGTCACGAATAGTGCCTACCATGACATTAAAGTGTCACTGAAAGGTTTTAGTCTTGATGGTGTAATGACACTTACAAGTGTCACTAACTCTTTTTTTAATGGCGCTTGGTAGTGCCACAAATAATATCTACCATGACATTAAAATGTCATTGAAAGTTTTTAACGATGATAGTGCAGTGGCACTTGCAAGTATCTATCGTGGCACTCGTATCTACCGTGGCACCGATAGAAGTGGCACTTGTTCAAAATGCCACAAGACCAAAAAATGTCATTAGAAGAATAGTTTTGTGGCACTTTCAAATGTCACTAAACTAAGAAAATGTTGTAGTGATTGCATTTTCTCAACTAATTTGAAAGATAAAAAAAAATGAGAAATATTTTTTAAGTTGTAAAATATGATTTTTGAAACTTATTTAAGACTCTTAATACATATAGACAAAATAACTCTATTTCTTTTGTCTTAATTATAATTTTTGAGAGGATGTTAGATATTTGCACATAACGTGTAACTAAACAAGTTTAACCTTTTGTTATTTTTATTTTTTTATTTTAATAAAAAAAATATAAAAAACTTATACGAAACAAAATTATAACTTATTTTAATTTTTTTAAACTAATAATCTAAAACGTTATAGTTGTAAAAACTTGGTTACATGCGATACAAAATTGAGTCATTATCTATCAATATTTTATTCATAGTAAATATGGTAGAGACTTAAATCACTAAAATTGTGACACATAAAATGATAATAAAGTATTGTATATAAATTTGTCATATTCACATTTATTATTATTCAATGATGATAAATACTAATATCCAAATATTTTTTTTTAGCTGGTTTTACAAATATTTTTAGTAAATTTTTAAATTTTTTACTTTTTATGATAATGTTATTATTGCTAGAAAAAACCTATGTATTTGAGAAAAAGAGAGCCATGCTACCCTAGCACAACCCAACTCTCTCTTATATATGAGTACGTAGATATATATTTGGTAAAGTTTAAGTGAGTGTTCGATAGGACAATACCAAATGTTACTTAAGTAAACAAGAATTTTATGGGAGTGTTTAGAGATTTTTTTTAAAAATTATTTTTATTCTTATTTTTATTTTTATTAAAAGGTTAGTATGTTAGTAAAATTAGGTTATAACTTAAAGGAGCCGCTGCTGATCTATCAACTCAAATCTTAGACCTTCTACTCACCGCACTCTAAGGCGCGACTACATACATGCCACTCGGCCACAAGGGCCTTGGCATTTAGAGATTAAAAATGTCAAATATTGTTAGACAGTCACCTAAACAATAATATATTTGTTAAAGATTGCCACGACCCAAACTCGATTCCTGGAGGTTCGGTGTCGCAATAAGACAAAAAATGAAGTCATAGCAAATTAATATTACAGCGGTGTAAAATAAAATGGTACCCAAAACTTTATTTAATTATAACAAAAACATATGCATTGGAGCTTCTTTTTAATTACATTACCAGAGTTGGACTATGACTATAAAGTGCCTTGTGCCTACCCCATGCGATGGTCTTGATACGTCACCTGAAAGTGGTTAACAACTATAAACATGTGGCAGAGCGAGAAATATTATATTGAGAGCATAAGATAGCCACCATGGATAAATATTTGGCTAAACAAAAAATGGTTTAGTTCGAACGTATAATATAGAAATCATATAAACAAAATAATTATAACCATGGTACAGAACATAACAAAACAAAGGTCAATGGATTTTTAAGTCATCCAAAACATGAGATTTTCAGAGGGCCAAATATTTAAGTTCTCAGGCATGGAACTTTCAGAGGGTCACAAAAATACTAACAGAATAGAACATAGGGTCACATAAAAAGTGACAAATTAAATGACTAACAGATATTAAAGTCCCCCAAGACATGGGACACCGTGGTGATACTTATAAAATAATTATTTAAAAATGTATTTAATAAACAATTTTATCCATAAATTTTCCTTTTAAAGCAAATAAAATTCATTTAACAAATAATATATTTAAAAAATTAGTATAATTTACAAAATATAATTTCTATAAAATAATTTATAATCACTCAAAATATGGTATAATAAAACTCATCCTAAAATTAATCCCTAACTTTTCGCTCCAGACTCACTCCCTCTCATAAATCCCTTGTTTATCAGAGCATCCACAATGGACACACTAAGTTGTGTGTTAGTGTCAGTTGCCAATTTTTGCCTAGCTGAGGGTATTGTTTAGTGCTGCAGTGGACCTGTTAACGCGTGTGTTAGGGGTGTCTGTTAAAGTCAGCTGCTAAGTTCTTTGTTATCTGCAGTGAGTGTTCTAGCGAGAGGAGGGAAGCGTTTTTTTTGTCTTACGGGTTGACTGGCTAGTTGATTGGTCAACGACAATTTTTTTTTTTTTTTTTTGAAATATCAAAATATGTCTTTTCCAAAATCCGGATGTCTCGAGTGGTCAGTGATATGTATTTTTCATGATACACACTATGCTGACAAATCTTTAGACTTTGTGAATCGCAAACAGTATAAATCTCCTTAAAGCCGGGTTCGATTTGTTTGTTTCATAAATTCTAAATATAATTTTATTTTTTGTTTTGCTGATTTCTTGTAGTGTTCACCAACACCGTCATTGCCGGCAACGTAAAATTGCATCTTGTTCAGTTTGGCTCCTTCCTCTTGAATATGACTGCTATAACAATGTCAAAACTTCCATGTTTTTGTCATTATTTTCATCTATAATAATGAGATCGTATTGGACGATAAATGACACTCATGAAACTACAACCCAAAAAAAAAAAAAAAACGTCATACTCAAGCAAAGGAGTAATTGTTTTTCTCTCTTTTGGTTGCACGTCTTTGGACACCTTGGACAAGTTGATAGTTTACTTCGCAAAATTGTTAGGTAGTTTGAATAGAACTATGAAGTATTGCTTACATTGTGTTACTGATCAATAAAAAACTGCAAAACAAATTACCAATTATATGTATATATATATTAGACGGTCACAATTTTTCTCACCTCAACTTGATACCTAAGACTTGAGTTTTGGAAACAAAGAATGGGTGAAGCTAACTGGTACACCATAGCTCTCATCATTTTCCCTCTCCTCCTACTCTTCTTCAAGCTCTTCACATCGAAACAAGAAACATACAAGAATCTCCCCCCAAGTCCTCCTGGGCTTCCCATCCTAGGCCATCTCCATCTACTAAAAGAGCCACTGTACCAAACTCTGCAAGGCTTTTCAGATAAGTATGGCCCAATCATCTTCCTTCGGTTCGGACCCAGAAAGGTCATCATTGTCAACTCTCCTTTGGCCGTCGAAGAATGTTTCACAAAAAACGATATTATCTTTGCCAACCGGCCACGTAGTCCCATCGGAAAACACCTCACCTACGACTACACCACAATAACTGCAGCCTCATATGGTGACCTTTGGCGCAATCTGAGGTAGGGGTGCAGAAGAGAGTTAGAAAACTCGAGAACTGAATCAATTCGACCTCCAGGGATGGAGTTGGTTTGATTAATTTTATCAATACATTGATTCCATTCTGGATATAAAAATAGTAAACAAGATTAGATTAGATTGGTTTGGTTCTTGGGATTAAGCTTAACCTGATCTGAGCCAACCCGACAACCAAACCTGCGTATATACAAACAATTTTATTTATGTTGGGATGTCTTAGTATAATTGGTAGAAAATAGGTAATAAAGTCCTACTGAAACGTTTTACACCTAAAGTATGACTTTTGCTGAAAAAATTAAAGAAAAAAATAAGAAAGTATGATAAATTCTTGATTTGTTTTGGAAAAATATTTATTCATATCCAAGTCTAATTGTCCGCAGTCTATGTTATGCATTTTATTTTTTTTTATTTTTTGAAAATTTAAAATAATGCTTTTGTTTTTGTTCATGTTCTGTTACAATGTTAAAGACTAATTTGCTACAGCCTAATCTCAGGCGTATTACAACCTTAGAGATTTTCTCGAATGCTCGACTGGAGAGGACATCTGGTATACGAGGAGAGGAAGTGAAGTTTTGGTTGAATCAACTCACGAAAAATTGTGGTGATGGTGGGTATAGTAAGGTGGACTTGAAAAACAAGTTTTTTGGGCTCTCTTTTAATGTTACAACAATGATGATCATGGGGAAGAGGTTCTATGGAGAGGATGTGTCGGATGTTGAGGAGGCCAAGCTCTTTCAGAATTTGATGAGGGAGCACTTTGAACTTGCTCAAATATCACATCCATCAGACATTTTCCCGATCTTGCTGTGGGTGGATTTTTTTGGGATTGAGAAGAAATTAGTAGCCAGTGCAGAGAAGATGGACAAGTTTTTGCAGCATCTAGTTGATGAACGACGGAGAATCAGTGCATCAAAACAAACGAGGACACTAATCGACAATTTGTTGTCTTGGCAAGAAACAGAACCAGAGTTCTACACCAACAATATTATAAATGGGATTATAATGGTAAGATTATCATTATTATGTAGATGTTGTTTGGAATATTATATGTAGAGGGTAAAAATCTACTCTATGTGTATGAACTTGAATTATGCAAAAATTCAAAATTATCTTATCGATTTTATCAAAGGAAAACAGGATTAACTGAGGCTGTTCAAACAAGCATAGGCCAACTAAATGGTATTCCCGTAGCAATTGGGGTTATGGATTTTCAGTTTATGGGGGGTAGTATGGGATCCGTAGTGAAAGAAAAAATTATTTGTTTCATGAGTAAGCTACCCAAAAATGCCTAAGATGACAACAAAATCCTAGAGAGAGAATTCAAAGTAGAATTCACAGTAGAGAGTTTGAAGTTAGTAGTAGTTGATTTCACATAACTAGCCATCGAAGTTGAGGAATATTTATACCATGACTTATCATCCAAATTCTGTATTGACTCTTTGAAGTCATTGCAAAGAGTTGATACGGAATTTTAGATAGTCTCAATCTACGTGCTTGGGAACATAAGATATAACTTCTTACTTTTAATTTTAGTAATTTTTTGATACCAAAAGGATGAAAAAATAACTTTAGACAAAAATAAAATATTAATAATTAATAATTAACATTAATTATCAAAAGGCTTCACTTTGAAATTTCTACAAATTGAGATATTTTTTTTTTGTCAAAGTGTGATCTTTAACTATTTTTGTAGTGGTGAGAGTGTTGGGCCGCCCCTTAATGTTGCATCCTTTTTGGGTATTTTATGTGCTTGCTTGCCTGGTGTGGACAGATATTGTTACTTGCTGGAACTGAGACTTCATCAACAACCATGGAATGGGCGATGTCACTACTACTTAACCATCCAGATGTAATGAAAAAAGTTCGAGCAGAGATAGATGCTCATGTTGAACAAGACCGCATCATAAACGAACAAGACTTGCCCAAGTTGAATTACCTATCAAATGTAATCAATGAAGCACTCCGATTATATGCACCTGTCCCACTTCTACTGCCACATGAAGCATCTGAAGATTGTACTGTGGGAGGTTATGATGTCCCGCGAGGTACGATGTTGATGGTAAA